ATAATTTATGTTTGATTTAATTATTTTATTAATTTAATTAATTATGTGATTAAAATTATTATATAATAATAATCAACTATTAAAAGTCATAATTTATATATTTTATTGATTCTTAATAGAAGATTATTATGTTAATAATATAAAGATTATTATGTTATATATATATATATTAGTATAACTTTCAACGTATATTTATTCCATGCACAGCTGGAAATGAGTTATGCAAATAAATCTTGATTCCGAATTAAATTTCTATTAAATAATAATCACGCCGAAGAAAATTTTCATTAATTAAGCAACCGACAGATATATATATATATATATATTAGTTAGTTTCTACTAAAAGACTCCTATATTCACTTATTATATGTGTATAAAATCAAATGATACTAAGTATTATTATCATTTTATGATTGAATATATTCCTAGTTCTTTAAATTTTTTAGTTTTTTTAAAATACATTTCTAAATTATAAAAAATTTGCAATTGAATTCTTAATATTTTTAACTGAGTTAATATCCTATTTATAAACTTTCAACTTTAATATAATATTCTTTGTTTTCTCATGAATCATGATCCCTAAGACTTAATTACAAAAATTAAAAAAAAAAACTTAATTATATTTTTTCATAGTTTAAAGAACTATTTAAAAACCTTAAAATTTTGAAGCACTAATGAATATATAATTTTTTTAGAAAAAAAATTTATTTTCTATGTGTTCACAATCTCTAAAAGAAAATAATAATTATTTTTGATGATGAATAGTTTGTAGTAATATAATAATTATCTAAAAAAAATATATAAAGTTTATTTTATTTAATAATTTTCTTAAAAATATGAAACTAAATTGAATTATTTGACGTGATATAGTTGGAAATAAAAATGTGGGTGAATATCAAATAGTCCAAGACCCACCTGAGCATTACGTTACATCAATTGAGTTCCAATGCAAAGTGTAAAAGCAAATAGCGGAACCTCATAGCCACAGCCACAGGGCTTTAAATCGGTGGAAAACGAAAGCAACTATTGGATCCCTTTAGGCCCAACCCAACTAAAACACATGCAGACACGTTGCCCCTAATCATGAATCAGAACTGAAACTCCATGCCACTCAAATTTTTGTGGCACAAACAAACACATCTCACAACACCACTTTCCAAAATTTTAATGTATGGGAGTTAACAAGCCACCTCTACTGGGAAATACCGTGCCAAAAAAAAATGCTTTATGAATTGGGCCCGCTTTCACGATGGGCCCGTGGTCGTGTGGCTATGAAGCCATCGCTTATAATTGTACGGACTGGGCTTGTAGGTTGAGAAGTGGGAGGGGTAATAATGGAGTGTGGTGGGGCCCAGGGTAAGGTGATGGACAAATGCTTCTTAATCGTCCATTATATACGAGTCACAGACAAAAGTTATGTAGAATATATAACCCATGAAATGATGACCACATTGAACCGTTGGATGCTTGTATTCATAATCATTGGATATGAGATCGTGTGGTGAGGAAATTATTTGGCGTAGTGACATAAAACTGAGGTGTTTGGTGTTTGTGTTATTTTATCATTGATTAATGGTTATCAATCATTGTTGTTCAAGTCTTTATCGTTATGAGGAAAATCGGGGCAGGAAAATTTGAGAGGGAAGTTAGTTTTTTGGTTCATCAAAAAATTAAGAGAAGAGAATGACTTCTCAATAATATATATATATATATATAAGATATGAGTAAATTTATCTAAATTTATTTTGATTAATAATTCATAATTTATACCAAATTTTAACCATTAAATTGTTGAATTTAAAGTTTTTAATGTATATATCAAGTCTGTAATTTTTTAAAAAATTTAAAAATTATTTGATATAGGTTTCATTGAAAAAGAAATTCATGAATATATCTAAAGATAAAAAGGAAAAGAATGTATATACAAAATAATAACTACTCTTTTAAAAAATAATATATATCAACTTATTTAAAAAATATTTATTTTTTCTCAAAGATTAAGAGTTTCTTTTCATTGTTAATAATATAGTATTTTGATATAGTCCTTTTAACACAATATCTTGTCATTTTTTGAAATTCACATGAAAAATATAAGATGAAGTATCTCTCACTTTATTTAATGAGCCTCTTAAATTTAAATTAATAACATATCATGTAACAAATCACTTTTTTTTTTAGAACTTAACAAATTACTATTATTCCTCCTTTTCTATCTCACTAATCACACTAAATTTTGAGGCGAGTCGATCCAAAATTATAAAAAATAAAAATAAAAAAGAGATTCATATTTGTATTGTAATTTGTAAATTATAATATGTTGATTATTTTAACTAAATGGAAAAATATCTTTTTAATTATGATATTTTCAAACATGCTATTTGTATTTTGAAATTTAGTTTCAACACCCTATTACAACCAGAATATGACTTAAGAATTTTGTAGTGAGAGTAACATAACTGTTACACTTTTTGTTATATATAGATTTGTTTTTTCTTACGTCAGAAATTTATATAATATAATAAGTATTTACAATTTTTTATCAGGTCCAACTTATCATTAAGAAAATACACAAATTTACAAATGTAAAAATCAAACATAATAAAATTTATTCCCACCTTTTCTCGTACCCCTTTGGTTAACTTATATGTGATTTAAAATATTTTGGCATGCATTTCAATTATGTTAAATAACTTATAATTGATTCTATTAAACTCCAACTTTGTTTAACTACAAAACAACGGGAAATGCATGACCTTTGTGAGTTTTTTTACGTGGAATTATTACACTTTAGAGAGTAGAGAAAAGGAAATGTGTACGAAATATTGCATCAATTAATTTGGCTCCATAGTAGTATTTGTAGAAGAAATAAAGATAGTTGATAACATTTAATTGGTATTTCTTTACTAAGTTTTCTTAATCATTGACCTTAGGTCGTACAGTGACTTACAAAGGTCCGTTTCATTCAGCATTATAAAGTGAATTAATTATTAAAGGTTCAGAGTCCATTATTTATCTACATTTTCACAAAGGGTTTTAGTGTCATGTGTGACAATATGACAATGACAAACCATCCTTCGCGGGGAAGGAGTAATGTCATATTTTTTAAAAGAAAATATTAAATAATATATATATATATATATATAATCTTATTAATACTTTTATATTTAATAAGAAGATTATTGTTAAAAAAAACGTGTTGTAGGAAAACGTAGAATTAATCTTAAACATTTTGATTTGACAAAAAGAATAATCTTACATCTTCATAGAAATCTTTCTAATATTTATAAATATATATATATATATATATATATATATATATATATAAATAAAAATATTTAATATTTTAAAAACATAAAATATATTCAATAACAAGTATCATGGAGTGCAGAATTAATTGACACGAGATTGTTTTAGTTTAACTAGTAATCTCATATTTAAGTTATAAATATGCAATTGCGTTAATGAGAGAAGTTTTGTTACTTACAATAGTATTACTTAACTCAAGAAGAATTTACCTTCAACAGATGATACATATAATTTGTACAAAAAAGAAAAAATAAAAAAAATAAGGATATAAAAAAAATTTAACTTGTTAAATTTGTGCAAATGACTAATATTTTCTTTAAGAAGAAATATACATTCTCATTTTTTTCTTAGTTTAATTACTCATTTTGTCCCTATTTAACACAAAATTTATCTTTTAGTCCTTACATCTAAAAACTACTTATTTTGATTTTTATACGAACACAATCTTTATGATTTAATCTTTGTTGTCAAATATCATGTAACATTGTTTTTATCGTGTGTTGTAATCTTCATGCTTGCACTATTTTTTCATTTTGTCTCTACACCTGCATAATATTTATGTTTTAGTTCCAATATGAATATTTTTATTTTGATAATGTTTTAATCTCTATCAACACTTTTCCCCCCTTTATTACCTTATCATTTTTTTTTCTTTATCAACACTTCCAAAATTTAAATAGTCTTGCATCAACTAAATTTTTATTGACCCCAAATCTAAAAGTATGGAGAATGCACATTTCAAGCATGTTTATTGAACAAGACGAGGTAGCTTACAAGTAAATTTGTACATACACTATTTGCAGTGATAGTGACTTGCTACACTGTTTCAATATTGTTGCATCAAACTCTTGAAAAAATGAAGGTTGAAGTTTTATTTGTTTTTCCTACATCACAAATTAGCATGATAAAAGATGATCTCACAAATGACTACTTCCAAGCTACCTCAAATTGTTCAAGAAACACATCTGATGTGAGAAGATTTAGGAGGAAAAACAAAATCTCACAAATTAAAAGTAGAAAAGAAGCGTTGATAAGGAAAAAAAAAAGTAGAAAATCTAACAGAAAATTTAATAGGACTAAAACATTAAAATAATAATAATAATATAAAGATTAAAATGTAAAACACAAACAAGTCAAGACACACCATCACCGCGTTAACTAAGTTAAATTGTATAATGACAAAAAACTAAAATGTAAGACCTAGCCCATTTAAAGACTAATACGAGTATTTTTTTAGATATTGAAACTAAGGCTTAAATGTTATCTATGTATAAAGACTAAAGTAATTAAACCTTTCTTTTTCATCTCTCTTTTAATTTCATTTCTTTATCTCTTTATTCCTTTTTCATTAGATCATGAATTACATTGATCATATTCTCATCTCTCGTATTTCTCTCTCTTCTTTCCATTCATGATTTTGGAGTGTAATTTTCAGTACTGTTTCTCTAAATTGACCTATACGTTATTCGTTGTCCAAGTGCTCACTGCTCCATTATTAACTTCCTGCTAAATGCTTGGTGATACAGGCATAGGCCGACACCCTAACCCTAGCTAATATAAAATTCCTCTTCCTATACAAAGAAAAAATGTAACGGATGCCAATCGTACAAAGATAAAGTACTAGTGCTTTTTCTTTTTCCAAAATAATAAAAGTGCATACAAAAAATAGGGTCATAAAAATAAATAAGAAAGAATGAGCTAAAGGACGGAACCCAATTCGGTAGCCATGTTTAACATACGAGTGTTAAGATTGACAGCTGCTTTTGTTTGAGCCAAGTTCCCTCTTGACCGAGTACAGGAACAAGAAATAGCTGTAGTTTAGAATTGCTACTACTTAGGTAGAAGATACCTTGAAACCACACCTTATCCGCAATCATTCAAGGAAAAGAAAAAATCTCTCTTAAATTATACTGTTCAGCTACTTTGTATCAGAATACTGCACATATACACAAACGGCGAGATAGGTCTAAAAAATTTAGATATGCCGGGAACGACCAACAGATTGAATCATACACATAAACCCAGTGGTTCAAGTTTGGAACCTTCACTCCAAATCCAGGCATTTGGGGAGAAACAAGTTCTATCATCCATCTATTTTCCCCATAAAAAGGAAGAGTGTTTTCTTCTAAGGCATGATTATAAAAAAACAAATATATCAGCTATTTACTTTTTATTACTGCCATCAAACATGATATACCCTACATTAGAACTGCTCTAATGTCAAACTACCATTGAAAATGCTGTCCAAAGTAGCCCATTGAGACAAGGTGGGAAGGCCAGAAACTTCACATATAGAATCTGAGGGATCAGGTGAAATGAAAATTGTGAATCACTTATATTGACAGGGAACTTCATGGCTAGGGGGTTATCTATATCACACTTCAACGGTTGCAGACTCAGATGCTTATGTCCGCCTCCTTACTCGCCTGCCAATTGGATTGACTGATTCAGCAGCTGCCCCATCTGCTAAATCTTGACCATATATGCTACTGCCACTTCTCTTTCTGCTCAATGTTTGGCCTGAATTATCATCCACTGATGCAAATGTCTCCAGCAATTCCAACAACATTGAGGGGCAGCTCTCTTTCAAATGCACAAAAGCTTCGGACTGCATAACAGCTGCACAGGGTGTAATAATATATCACTGAGTCTTCAAAGGTTGAGAGTTCAAGGGCTCCAAAAGTAACTAACAGTTGAGAAATAAACTCCCGAAGAGTATAAAGTGAGCTAAATTTAAGCGACAAGTCAAAAAAACCAGAAAAGTATTAAGTTTCTGAAAATTACACTGAGAAAACAAAGTCCAAGTAGAAACCCACAGACATCAATTTAGTGAGCATTGTAAGTAGAAACAAGGAGGCGGAAACCTTAAATTACCCCCATAATTTCAAGTAATGGAGATTAAAAGATTGAATTTCAAACAGATTTTCAAAATCAACCAACTATGTACATGAAGCTTGATATTTCATGCATTCGAAATTGGAATTACCTTCTGAAAATGCTCCATCTGGAAACGAAAAATGAAAAGCTTAGGAGTGGCGGATAATTTTCATAAATACAGCAAATTGAATCACTATGTCAATTCACTTAACAAACCAATTGTTAAAAGTAAAGTCAATACACAAATTATAAATATGGATAATTGACACACCACCATTTCCTTTTATCCTAACATTGATTAACTATAACAAGGGAAATGAATTGAAATTATAAAAGAAAAGTACATCAATTGAAAAAGTGACACGGAACAAAATTAAATTATCCCTGTGTGTGTAGAGAGAGAGAGAGATACAAGTTTAAATTAAGTGTAAAATGAAAATCGACAGAAGCTGCAAAAATAACAAGGTAACACAACAAATAAACAAAATTACTTTCTCAAACTACAAAGTACAAGGAGCACCAAAAGGTAAGAAAATATCTATGAAGCCTGGATACTTAGTATGACACGGGTACGATACGACATGGATACGGAGATGCAACAACTTTTTGAAATTTAGGATACGACATGTTTTGGATATGTTACTAAAAAACTATAGGAAAATTTGTGTAGATGTATAATATTGGTAAAGAAATACACATTATCATTTCACATTAATTCATAATTATGATGATCAAAATTCACAAAAAAGATATTTGTGATCATAACAAAAGAACATATAGAACACAGTTTCTGCTCATACCATAACCAATTTTAGTTCACTATATCGATAACAGCATCTTTGGTAGCACTTAAAACAAATATGAGCTCTATACAATAGCCTAAGACTCAAGCATCATTACTAATGCTATTTGTATCTTCTAAGTCTGGTTTTTCCAGAGACAATTGTGTCAATTCAAAAAGCCTAGCACCATTAGCAAGTGGATGATGTATATCTCTACTAACGTACCACAACCTTGCCTTTCCTTTTTATACCCTTCATCATAGACAAAAGTTGATGGTTCAAACACCATAAATCAAATATCCTACCCATTTTGTATCAACTTTGTTTTTCTTCAAAGAATGAATAGAGGAGTGTGTACTCTAATTTCTCTCAAGCATGCGAAAGAATATGGTTGCACAAGAAGCTTAAGACAAGCTTTTTGGATACTTCTCAGATACGTATCCAAGAAGTATCCTAGAAAAAAAAAGTTAAAAGTTAAATAAAAAAAAGATTGGGTACTTTTAGGATACATATCCGGAAGTATCTGAGGAGTATCGGTATCTGACATAGGTACGACATCAATACTTTTCCATTTTTGAAGCATCTAGGCATCATAGGAAAATATTTCCTGAACTTTGAATACTAAAGTTACGTACACCCTTCTCACCAAATAAGCAACGAAGTAATTTCATTATTTGAATGAGCAATGTAGTAATCTTATTATGAGAAATACTTCCACATTTATAGTGTAAATATCACAGAACAGAAAATGCCTAACTCTGAATCCCAACTCATTATATATATATATATATGTGTGTGTGTGTGTGTGTGTATGTGTTTGAGGAAAGACTCACTCATGTTTTACATCAAATTTCAACCATCCAAACATTGAATTAAAGAAATTTAATGCATAAATTACCTATGCAAATTTTAAAAAAATTTGACAATTATTTGATACTTCAGTTCACTAATTTAAAATTGATGGGTAATTGTAAAATCATTTAATACGTTGATTTGCAAACTTGGTCCATGCATCAAAGACTTTTAATTCAATAGTTGGATCATTAAAATTTGATGTAAAATATAAGTTATTAAGTGAAATAAGTCTAAACAGACTTACTCTTGAAATAAGTGAATCCCTCTTCTCTCTCTCTCTCTCTATATATATATATATACACACACACACAAGTTGGGGTTCGTTGTCACAAGGTATAAGTCTAAAAACTTACACCAAATCTGATAACTTTAATAACTTTTTGTGTAATACAAATTTGACTGATCCAACCATTAAATTATGTAGTATTATGCTTAAGATCATGTATATCAAATTTCACATAATTTCGAAATTATTTAGTTGTTCATCACATTGCTTTATTTTAACATATAGGTATGATATTTAAAATATGTATAACTATCTATTTTTGGATAACATCCAAAAAAGTTCAAGTCATATTAAATTTGATATACATGATCTTAAGTATAATATCACATAATTCAACAGCTAGATCAGTTAAATTTGCATTATACAGAAAAGTTATTGAAGGTATAAGATTTGATAGTGAAGTTTTTAGACTTACATTTTGTATCAACGGATCTTGGCTATATATATACATAAAAGCCAAACAACACATTTAACTCAAGCAAATTCAACACATCAATAATGAGTGTGTTAGTTTATTCACAAAAACAAGGGATAAAAATATTCATGCCCAAAATTGATATAAAAGTTGTGTTTTATGTGCATAAATGCGCACAAACAGACACTTAGAGAACCACATCCTTTTCATAAATTATTTACTTATGCTTACTTCAATTGTTCCCTTGCCTCCATATCATTCCCTTTTCCCTATCTTAAACAGAGAAAACTATGGGGCAAGTGGGAAGAAATCTTTTAAAAGATGAACAGAAATAAAAATTAAATTTAAAACTTAGAATGAAGGAATCAGATTCAAAAGGATTTCAAGTTATAATTATCTTTGAAAGCCAGTGTACATATTAATGAATAATGAAAGAGAAATTTCACATTAATACTAGCAAAACAAAGTAACCAAACCCCCTTGCATTATTGTTAGAAACACAGAATAAATCATAACCCAGTTAAAAGATTGCCTCTAAAGAACACAAGCCATCCGCATCAGCGTCAATGACGTCAATGTTATTTATTTCCCAAAAAATGTAGTTTTAGCAAACAGATAAAAATCATATTAATAAATTGTAGCAAAGCTTATGTGAGAAGGGGTAAGAAGCATACCGAGATTCAGTGTGTCTGAATTATTAGTGTTTGTGCCTTTAGGTAGTTATGGATCTGAATTATTATTTGTGTTTAAGCAGTTATTGAATGGTGTGACCATTGCTGCATGATGCTTTTTATGTATGGGGCTAGGAGGTGGTTGTTCATTGAGTAGTTTCACTAATTGTTTAATGCAGAAGGAGACTCCTTGTTAGATGGAAACCCTGTGCTATGATTGTCTCCAGTAATACAGAAATATTTTGGTGCGCTTAATCTTGATATTAACATGAGCAAACCAAAAGCCCCAAAAAAGATGAAGTTGGAGTCAAGCTCTTCTCAATTCGCAACTTCCAAAAAGTTATCAAATTATGGAAATGCATCACAATAAGTAACAAGAAAAATAAACTATTGTTTCCACCGTCTAGTACCTTAAAACCAAGAATCACAAACAATATAAAAATGGCTATACCAAATGAAGTTCTAATAGCTAATCGACACTCAAAATGATATTTAACAATATAACATACCCTATCAACTTAAAGAGACTAAGAAACAAGATATATTTAATTTGGAAATGTCAGGAAGCAAGACTATATTACATATTATGCTACTTGCCAAAAGAATCTTTAGTTAAAACAACTATTCATTTTTACATTCATATTCTAAAATACGCACCTCCCAAATTTGCTGGATTTGCAATAAATTTCAAACAGACTGCCTTAAGCTGTGGACAGTGGTGTTGTTCTGCCAGGGCAAGTGTTGTGGCCACATTGTCAGTATTGATTTCATCACACAAGTTTGATTCGCATAACAGTTTTAGCCGATCAAGATTGTAGAGATCAGCAGCAGCTAAGAGATGCTGCACCATGACAGTAGTTGAGCACATGGGCATTGAGTCTGTAACGTCATAGATGTTGGGAAGTTTGTCAGAGTAAATGAAGAGAAGCATTGCCTGGAAAAAACAGATGAAAGGATTTTCACTTAATCAATCTGCTTAACAAGATAATATGAAGGAAAAAAAATACTCCAGCTAAAAATTGTAAGCAAGCATATAACATGATGGAAGACTTTGGCAGTAGGAACTATCGATATCTGAAAAATGCATCCAGAATTCTCTAAGTATCAGAATGTAATGAGATCATAATTGACATAAACAATTTTCATTAAAATACTCATGCAAACTAGCCATGTTTTTAACATGTAACATCTCCACACTAAAATAACGAAATTTGAAAGACACAAGCAAAGTTGTTAATTAAACAACTTAATTTGTTCCACCACAGAAAACTATTTTGGTAAGATACACTCAGTTCCAACTGACTACTTCACAAACAAAAGCAAACACGAATGGGTGAAAGACCCTGGAACTAATCAATTAAAAAAATTGAAATTTTGCTGTTCATATGCCACAAATGGGAGTAAGAAGGCTATTTATTATGATGTAAGAATGAACTCAATTATTTCACTGTTAAGATATTAGAAAATGAAATTGGTAGAATTGAAGTTGAAAATTACCTTGAAGATAAAGGGCTCAATATCCTCTACCACTACTTCCTCTAAGCTAGGATCCCCAACAAGTCCAAAAAATTGTGCTCTAAACACAGGAGATCGGGCAGCAAGTATCAACTTATGAGCTTTGAAGCTTTCATTTTTTACCTTGAAAACTATGTCACAACCAACCTCAGATTCCAACAAGTCCTTAAAATCTTGGCCCATATCTGACTGTGGCACAATAACACCCTGTTTAGATCCCTCAAAACGAGTTTTGACAACCCCGACAGTGCAATGCATGACAAGGCAATCATCTTTTAGATACTCCGAAGTTTCCAGTAATGTTCTCCTGAAGAAACGCTTGTAACCCCTGTAATGAGCAAAGAAATGTCAATTTGCAGAAATCACCCACGGTCACAGACAACAATATTCTGTCCACCATCCCAAACAAATTAAAATGACAAATATAGATAACTAAAATTACAATAACTGTTTTTAAATGCATCGCTCCTTGCAGAAATTATTCTCACTCAAACACCATGTTAGATAGCACATGACTCAAACCTCAAATAAGCGACTATTCCAAGTTTACTATCACATTGATAATAACGCCAAAACAAAAACCAAAGAATGATGGAAAAATTCAAGGCACCAAAAGCTACCATTGTTCTTCAACATGTAAGAACCGCTATCAAGAGGGTG